GTGAAGTATCATAAATTAATACCTTCTCAAAAGTTTAAATCGTTCGATTGTTGTACACGCAGTCAGAACAGGCTATCATAGGTATTAAATTGCAAACCCCTCACTAAGGTCACCATCAAAGTTAAGCGGCTACACAAACTCCGTTCCATTTTCTGATGATAGTTTTGGGCAAACAATGAACACCGTAGATTTGGGTAAGTGCTACGCCCTCATGTGATTGAAAGCTATTTCAGGAGGAGAACAACGTACTGAGAAACTTCAGAATGGCATAAAATACAATTATCGATAACGCGTCACTGAAAGTCCACCTACAAGATATGTAAACCAAGTGACTATAGAGTCCTTGGAATGGTAGTATACATTTGCAATTATTAATGCAAACCATATCGGTGTAAGCATGGAAACTATGACATTTTCGACGCAAATACAACTTTGTTCAAACACGAAACTGCAGTAATATTCTCTAGCTGTTCGGAATTTTTTCCTTTGATGCAGTTTCTTATCAACAGCTTGCAGTATTCATAATGAGTTTATAGGAAACTTTATACTTTCTTCGTTTTCACCAACTGTCCCTTCACGCACAATAGCATGCTGTAACTACATGCACTCAGGCATTGTAACCTGAACATCACAAAATCCCCCCAGATAACTTGTTTAATAATAATTGCTTTAAAGATATGGGCTATAAGTGCACCTTCCATGTCTTTCATAGCCACAAGCCACTCATTAGGGATCTCAGAATATCTTAGTGATCTGAAAATGAATAATTATTAAGACTGATTAATTTAATTTTGATTTTAATTTTTTAAAATTTTGATTGCAGCTTGATGCCACACCGTATTTTCAGTACAAGTATGGAATTTTCAGCATGGATATCAGTAGCCCAAATTTTACAGGCCGACCATAGATATCGGGTGTACGCCGGCAGGGGATCGAACCCTGGACCATGTGCATGGTCGGAGAGAGTCCTAACCACTGTGCTGCCAGCTACTATTCGACATAAAGCTGACAATAATTACAAGCAGTCTGACATTTTAGAAGGAGCATCTATACGATTCTTCTTACCCCAATGCACACTGATATCAACATAATCTGATGCCATATTATGCACTGAGCACTTAGGGTCTCCCAAAATTCCATGTGACAATGTAAATTAAACTAGTATCACATCTCTGCTTGAGCAATTTCAGCTGGCAACTTCATCAAAATCGATATAATCACCAGGAAATTCAGCAGCTTGTCTCATTCATCGCATGATCTCTTCGATGTGCTATGGAATATTTCAATCACCACGTTTGATAACAAAAGTGTTTAACATCCTCAAAACATCCGTCTAGCTTATGTCTGTGGTCTGTTTCTCGTTCAAATACTCGATTCTCATAGAATAACTGCTATGACAACAACCATTGCCTGTAGTCAATTTACAACCTTAAGATCTAAAACAACTCGCAAATAACGAAACCGCAAGGCTCTAAATCCCAAATAAGTCTTTCTATGCGAAATTTCTTACAATGGATGACTTTTCTAGTAATAAATCGTCTGGGCTATCAAGACACTTTTAACCATTAATACGAATACAATACAGGAAAATATTGCTTTTTTCGGCTACAGAAGCCTAAAGCTATTCAAATATAATCTATTTTCACAAAACTGAACGATTATAGCGGATCTATAGGTTTGAACGCGATAACCCATACAGTATGCAAAAATATGTCACGATAACGTTTATACTCACCCACCAACATATCTTGTCAGAAGATGAAAATTCTCATCAATCCAGGAAACATTTAACATAATTTTATCAAAACATTCACAAACAAATTACAAAGCAAAATCTCAAACAACATGCAGGATAAGTCCAACCCATTTCTTAGGCTACCCTAGAAGTGCCAAAATATACAATCCAACACCTACAAATCATAAGAAAATCTAGCAGTATATCAGAGATTTCGGAAGTACCTCTCCGTACTAAACACAAGAGATTTTTAGGCCAAGTGGCATGGCATTGGGCCATCATAGTTCCTGGTAAATTATGGATACTTTCAGGTTCAATCCTGCTCGATCCACTTCTTCACACAAGCTATCTAGCGAATTTTGTATCTGTTGCTGCTTGTCTATTTTCAGCAATCCTGCCTCAAATAATTTGAAGTTCCTAGTTTGAAACATCATAAACCCTTTGCGGTGCAATTGCCTTTGGCTTCATGCTTGAGATTATCGTTTTCATGCTAAACCTGAGCATTGGCTACACTACCTACTGGATCCTCAGCCTGGCTCAATCAGATGACCAGGCTGCTCTCAACACCTCCCCATCTAGAGAAGAAGTATATAACACAGAATCACTCAACACTGTATTACTTAGCAAATGATATGAAGAGAGTATAGAGATAAAATACCACACCACAATGAAGGTGCCTAGCTCTTATTCTTTGGAAATCCAATCGCCAGCCCTCTGTTTAAACGGCATCGATGATCCAATTGATCGTTTAACGTAGAACGGCTGGAGGTCAACTGATCTGACGAATTTCTTTGATCGCATACAACGTGCCAGACACCTAAATGACATCATGAAGTCGAGTGAATCTGAAAGGTGAAATTTACCGTTGAATCACATGAGTTGAAAATCTGCCGCATCAAACAACAGTGTATACTGGCCAGATAAATTTCATTTGAACAGCAAACAAACGTTTCCTTAGTTTGAGCTGGAGTAATCAGATCAGAAAATCGAAACACTGCCACTCCTTAAATACTGGATTATTTCGTAGATTAAGTGGTAGTTAAGAGAATCAAATCCTTTGTTTCTAAATTAGGACAGATGAAGATGGAATTTATTCACTGAAATATTAGAAACCTAAAACCATTAGGTCACTCATGCCAAGGTACAAGGATTTATTTTTTGAAAATCACCCATAATCCTGACTATTAAGGCAGCTCTCTTAAGTATTTTTCACATAAGATCATTATATGTGGCAAGTGTTCGTAATAAGAATTCAGACTTTTTCAGCTGCTAACGATGGGTTCTTCTCTCATTTTGCACGAGAAATTAGTCCGGTTCCGTTATGGACAAAATTTATTTTGATAAAATCACACAGTGTTTTACAGTAATATTTACTGATGACGTTCCGAGCATAATGATTATGAGCAATAAATTGTGCTCGAAGCGTCATCAACAAGTATTACCTTATAACAGTGTCACTAAATTGAAAGAAACTTCATCCATAATGGAACTGCAATCTAACACAGTGCCTAAGTCTTATCCTTATACAAATCTGTCCGGTTCAAACATATTGCGAATTTGATTCCATAGGTGCGAGTTGATAAAAATCAACAGCACTCCATTAAAACAAGCTTGGGTAACTTAACAAACAGGTGAAAGCATTCCGCTTGGATAAAGAGAAAAGGCTTTTAGAATCGCTAGCCATGATAACTGACCGATAACATGCCATTCGAATTCAAGGCTTGTGTCTTCTTGACAGATATTAGGCTGAGTGACATGAATAGCGACAACTCTTATTTCCGTCTCACTCTCTCTCTTGATTCCCCAGCAGTTAGAAGTCCTAGAACGACGGTCCTAAATGAAAAAATTGAAGCAATTCACCATGTTTTCGAAAGGGATTTAAAGCCCACTCCTCTTGAGCTGTATTTCGAGTCAAAAAGCTATCGATGTGAGTGAACCTTGAAGGTAAACCGTGGTTTCCTGTCCTAATTACTGACACAATCGTTTGAAAAAGCAGGAAACGTTATGCGGTACACCTTCAACTTGGCTACTATATATTGCTATGTAATGTAGCATTAGCACAAGAAGTGTCTTCTGAAAGTGAAACATGCTTTAAGGACATCAACAAAACCTTAGGGTTGAGATATTTTACCAAAATTGATATAAATACTTTATCGGTACTAGGTGACTGCAAGTATTTTCAAGGAGATGGAGACCTGCATCTTCGTTTCTCTCACTTGAAGTATCCAAGTCACGAACCAAGACAACTTCACTCAAATTTTAGTCCTGTTTGTCCAACAAGTTGATATTTTAGAAGCTTAATTAGGAATGCGATAATGCCTGGTATGGTATACCACGTGCGTGGCAGATAGAAGCAGCATATGAACCATTGGTAGTATGTCGAAGAAAGAGAAATACTCTATAGAAACCTTACCACTGTAAGATAGTACTAAAAAGCCTTTCAGCACATAATGTCATGTCAGTGGGCTTCTCGGTTGGTACCATAGAAACGTGGAACCAATTGGCCCCTTCCCTTTCACTTCAACAGAAAGTAGTTTGAGGAGTCACAATAAGCCTAAACTCAAAAATGGCATAGCCAGAATGAGCTTTAATGAATTCTGAAAAATTACATGGGGCCTCTGCTAAGATCAAGAATGAGATATTTACTGCATTTAGGATATTAAGCCATTGCTGAACTGCGTGGTGTCCCTGGGGTAGGTGGTTTAATATCACTACCTGCGAATTTCCCAGAATCTATGTCAGACGTGATCAGTCCCTACGAAGAATATGATACAGATAAACAAATGTGACAGGAACGCTAGTTTTCTCATTAGGAATGCTGACTGTATCTCATCTAAATTCATTCCATACGGTACTGCATAAGAATAAATTGTTGGTGGAAAAGGATAAGCACAGCACTGAATAATTCTAAAAGTAACCAAAATGTCTTAAATTTGAATCCTAAGGTTTCTTATCACCAAAAATATCAGCCCTATGAATTCGTAGCTACAAGTGTTTTTTAATTCATACCCGTCAATCCAACCAGGACTTAGAACACTCATTCATTCCGCCACGAATGCCATTGGTACAAGTAAGCATACAGTGAACTGAACTGATGGTTCACTGTCTGCAGTAGTGAAGGCTTAATTTGAGAAATGTCTCATTCATTTCAAGCAGTCACTTCAATCTCATCGTACACCCTTCATTAGTTTAACTGCAAAGTCTTAGCTCGCTACACTGTTTCGCATCTCCAGTGAATGTCAGTTATCTTGTGTTTTAGTACGGCCATATATTAGGGGCGCCAAGCCCGAAAGAATGAAACCCAGTGAAAAGTCTGGGAGTCATATAAGTACCGCAGTCAGGTCTTCCAGATCGTCCGTTAAGCGAAATGATTTTGACTTAAGAAAAAAGGTAGATTTTTTGATGATGCTGATATCCATTTCTAGGAGGATGAAGAGCGTACACAGCAGGTGTTTGAAGAGTTTGTTGCCACTTTTGAGGAACCGTCGAAAAGTCGGGCATGGGTTAAAGGTGGCGTTGTTAACCCATCATCAGGTATTTGTAGTAAAAGTGTATCCATTTATATGTTTCCAGGCTCTTCGGAGGACTCAAAGGGACCCAGTCGTATATATAGACCCGTTTCTAGACTGGACTTGAAACCCAAGACTGAAGAACAGAACATTGCCGATAAGAAGTCATCTGAAAAGCCAGTATGCAAAAATTCCAGTTTAACTTCCCTTTCAGCCTGCGCTTGGAAAAAAGAAAGGTCAAGAACAGAAGAAATCCAAGCTAGAACAGTTTAAAGAAGAGCTTAAATTGTATGTTCGGATAACAGCTTTATTTGATATACAAGCAGGATTCAGCAGCAAAGAGAACAAAGACATGCTATGAGACAAGGAAGGAATCAGTCGTCCGCACAGTCTGAGCTAGACCTTTCGGAAGTTGGAGTTCGTGGTCGAGATTATCGTAGAGGTTCTTCAAATTCTCAGTGTGGGGACTCGAACATGAGTTCTCATAATAACAACGCGCCTCCAAGCTTTTACTCAAGGCGAAATCAAAATGATCGTCATGATGGTAAGCCGTGATCTGATACTTAATGAAATCTCACAGTTGATTACCCATATGACTATGATGGTGATAGGACAACTACTAATCTTTTTCTTGGAAATCTAAACCCTAAGGTAAAATCAAGAGTTATAAACTACCTTACATTTAGATGACAGAGCAACAGCTGTGCGAAGCATTTGGTCGTTATGGGCCTTTGGCTAGTGTAAAGATCATGTGGCCCCGAACAGAGGAGGAACGTTCAAGAGGTCGCAACTGCGGATTTGTTGCCTTTATGAATCGAAAAGATGGTGAAAGGGCTCTTGATAATATAAGAGGTAAAGTGATAATACTTTTCGCGATGTTAGTTTCTCTTTTTTTGTTTATCGTCCTTGTTTGCATCAAAGTGAGTGTTCATAGGATGCATCACAAACCTGTTTCAGTGACTCGCACTATTGTAAATTTAATTCTGTGCTAGACAGACGCTTGAATAGTTTGTTGGAAGTATTAACCTTCACATGTGTTTGGAGCCACTGGGCGTTTCCTTTGTGTAGCGGTTTTCCATTCAACATCTCGACAAACTTTTTGTTTGGGTCACCTAAACCACTTGCTTTAAATGGATTGCTTTGAAATTCAGTTCTTTTCACATCACCTCATGCTAACAAAAAAATCAGTGTCACTATCAGTTTCAGACTTAATATTACTGTGGAGTAGGATGACGATTTTATTGGTGTTTGCGTCAATTCGCAATTACTAAGGGAATTATTTATTTACAAAGCGCAGGTTTATGGCGTTAAGTTTGGCATATATCTCACCTAGTTTCCAGTGATTCTGTAGTTTATTCTACCCAAACGTATTGTTTATTAATCCGTCATACATTAAGTAATGCTAGGCATTATTCGACTAGCAGATGAAGTTCCAGGCAAGTTGGTTCGCTCATGAACCGGCACTTAGTTGAATGGTAACACATCTTTGGATGAACCGTGTTTATAACCGGTTTAGTAAAGGCGGAAATAATGTCGATGTGTTTGGTGATCTTGAAACAACATTTTGTTGCATCTAGTTTTACCTCATTTTCGTAGGATTCTTCATATTATGAGCCACTTTCGTTCAATCTGTACATCCGTGTTTCGTTTTTCAGGGAAAGAGCTTATGGGTTTTGAAATGAAACTAGGGTGGGGTAAAAGTGTCCCAATACCCTTGTATCCTGTGTACATTCCTCCTGCACTGCTCGAGTTGGTCAAACCTCCCCCTCCAAGTGGACTTCCGTTTAATGCCCAACCAAGGGACTGGTTAAAGTCATTTCGTTTGGCAATTAAAGAGCGTGCTAAACTTGTGACTGATGGTGCGGATAGTGATAGCGCACCACCACCACCAGCTCCAGATAGGAAGCCATATGACGTCAACAAAATGTCAGATGAAGAACTTACTGAGGTACGTGACGTCTAACATCCTTGCAAGATTTTCAGATGACAAAAGTGAATCGATAATATCTTACTATCTTATTTTATAAATTATTTAGATTTCACAATTGAAGAGCTCATTTAATCATAGATGTATCGTTTAAAGACTACAAGAACTACACTTCCCCATCATTAAACGTCAATAAAATATTACGAAAAAATAGTTCCCTAAGAATAAATTCCATCATACTGAGTACACTACCAGCGAGAAATTATCTGCTAAATTATATCCCCACTGCGTGCTGCTGAAAATACGCGAATAGAATGGAGTCAAACTGACTGAGTTTCGACAGTTACTGTCCATTTGGACACGGTGAAACATATATTGTAGATAGTTGCAGTATGCCTTTTCTAAACCGATGGTAGATGTGGGAGTTATTACAAATTACTTCCATAAACTGTTCTACTGACTTCCGCTACTCTTTAGTCTCCCTTCAGCACTTGTGAGTGTGGTCTTAAGCATGGTAGTGGAGATAGTGATCCATAAATACTGGTTTCACTGTTGACTGAAATCTTTTATGACAGTTGTAAACAGTGCTGTGTCGAGTACGTCACCTTACTCAAAACTATATTATTAATCGCGTTTAGACCTGAAATGAGCTATCCTGTGATTTATCTGCATTGTGTATACGTTGAGAATTAACCCTGTCTTCATCCTGTCTGGTTTTACGGGGATGCATTACCTTACAGTTTTCATACGAGTTCACAGAAAAAAATCTTTAAGTTGGTTTGAAGACAGTTATAGAGGGAGAAATCAGTGTGTACTGTATTGCTGTGCAACTTTCCACATTTGACCCTAATGAGGATGGAGAAAAAGGAATGAAAGCCGTGCTATCGAAGACTGAGAGAATAAGAAAATAAACGATTTAAGTTGAAGGGAAATAAGAGTGCACCCGCATCCCTGCAATAATTTTAGAGTTGTATCATTTCAAAACTCCAATCATAGATTTCGGTTGTTGCGCGTATTCCACATTGCACAATTATCTGCTCAGTTTAAACCAGTTAACGTTTGGTGCCATGCTTTTGGTCCACTCACTCTTCATTTACCACCAGCATAGTAGGTTGGAAACAGTGGTGGGTTAACATATATAACTTCGAAAGTCAGTCTTCTAAACTCAGGAATCATCGAAGTTATCCGATAAGGATATTTTGGGTTCTTCACTGTTCAAAACAAATTGTTGCATTAGGACATATTCGTGTTAACCTGTATCTAATGATGTGAAGGCTAAGTGGCCAGTCATCTCGTATACCTGGGAAATCAAATCAGTCTCTAAATAATGTCATGGAATTTTTGATTTTTGTTCCAAGGCTATAACTCATGAAAGCTGAAATTTGCTTGTGTTCGGTATATGGCTTTACAAAGTAGTCAATATTGGTAAACAACTTAAAATTTCAGTTACTTTAGGGTTCGTCTGTGAGCGATAGCATAACTGGATATAGAGTATTACGTCTAGTCTCATCAATTAAAATGACTGATGCTTACAACGAATGCATAAAGACATAAACTGTTACAGACCTTTCTTAATTGAAGTCAGTGCTTGCTAATATTTACTGTCATAGCTTTGATTTCTCCACTTAATTTATTTTGAAAATACAACCGCTTATACTAAGCTGTAGTGCTGCAGACATATACTCTGTACTGAGGGCACTTTAAAAAAAGTCTTGAAATACGTTTAGATTTTACGTTTTTTTGATGTAGTTATATTGCAGCACATTTTTAGGAGATTGTGTCACAAACTCCATGTATGTCATTAAGTACACATTTACAATAGTGATGATGTTAATATTTATGTTCAACATTCTTAATCTCAACTTTCGTCGCACATGCACGCTTTCTGCCAATCTGAAGGTCCTTCGTGACGCAGTGGTTAAGGTCGTTATGCCAAGTGACAGGTAAGTGTTGATCAATAAATTGTTGTACTTTTATCCTAATCTTTTCCAAACTTCAGATCCATACTTGCTCTGATCCATCGTATGATTGAATTTGTCATCCTCGAAGGTCCTCAGTTTGAGGCTGCAATTATGCACAGAGAAACTAACAATCCAATGTTTAAGTATGATATTTTTAACATTCCCTTTTATTGCTAACACTTCAGATTTCTTTTTGATTATCAATCCTCGGAGCATGCTTATTACCGTTGGAAATTATGGTCTATTCTACATGTAAGTTTAGGTACCACTTGTTTTTGGTTACGAGATCTGTTGAACTTTTCACACAATAGATAGGTCGTGGATAATTGTCTGAGTAATGGGAAATATTCAAACCGGAGAACTTGAAAATCTTGTATTATTTTCTCTTTAACTGTGATTAGGGCATGTTTCTTAGTAATCAGATAAATGCAAAGCGAACTTTCTGCTCGCGGATGTTAGGTTTCTGATTGGGATTAAATGTAAGGAGATTTATGGGTAAAATTTGTAAATTGTTTTTGTCTCATTGACAGGTTCCTTTTACTGAAAATAATTCATAAGCATAGTTCCTAGCTTTTTATTCACTGTGTTCCTAACTGCCAATCAACAACTTGTGATTTAAACAACTTAAGAAACCCCACTACGTCATAGGAAAAGTCGCCCAGTGGATGGTTACCCTTCTCAGTGATAAAAAAGGTAACTTTTGATTTCCAACAACATAGCTGTGGGATTTCTCCCCTGCAGGGCCGAGCTTTGTGCGGTATTTTGTAAGTAACGACTTGTTAATGAGACCATTCCATTTTGTTTAGAAATAACGCATAGTTAGTTTAGAATTTTAGAAGACACGTGCTATTTTCAAAGCAGTTTCCTTTTTTGGAACAATTCATAACCCTATTCTTTACCACCATTTAATATCAGCAACTAATTTTTAACTAAGTGAATATATACTTTAGAGGTCATAACTTATAGAGTTTGCTTACCAAAGTGTTAATCGAATAGACGTAAAATGATTCTGATTTCCCTCATATTCTTTACGTTCTAACTGTACGGGTTCCGTTAGCTAAATTTTAAATAGTCTTTGAAGTGAATTCATCTTGAATGAAAGCCACCTTTGCAGTTATTGAAGTTATCGCCTCGTTGAAGTATTTTGCATTATGTATATATGTTAATTTGTTAAATGTCTTCATTATATTTATCATCCATTATAAATGTATATCATCAAAGGGTGAAAGTGTGACGAATTGGCGTACAGATGAATTTCGGATGTTTGAAGGTGGTCCACTTTGGCGTCCGCCTCCTGTGAACTTGTTCTCAGGTGGCATGCCTGATGATCTTGTTGAAGAGGACGACTACCCTTACGCTCCAGGATATGTTCCGCCGCCTCAAAGTAGACGACGTGAATCAGAAGACTTGTGAGTGAAGATTACTGTTTTGCCTCGGTTTATCAGACTACTACATGTGGTCATCTCTCTTCATGTAGAATTTATCTGCGTTGAATTTAGTGGAAAATGGGTTTTCAGTTTGTGTATTTCCTAGTATTTTTGGTTAAAAGCTGTTGGCGTCATTTAGCATATTTTTTAGAATAGTATTTATTTATTTCTCATCCTAAATACCATACACAACATTTCATTCCTATTACAGTCTGTCATTTTTTTAATGGAATTTTCAGTTTTACTATACCTATTTCTCGGCGAATTCCCACATTTAAACACACACTAAGGCAACAAGATGCACTACAAGTTATCTTCGTACTTACAATTACATGTAGTTCAATCTACTAGAATAATGTTAGCCTAAACATAAAGTGTGTTCGACTAATTGGCTTTTTAATGTAAGACCTCGTACAAAAGCACAACAGTTTAAGTTGCTATGACTCGGAGAAGCTCAAAAAAAGGTAAAGAAGATAAATGTAATGCAACTATGGTGGATGACGAAATACGGGAGGGAATAATTAGGTAAAGGTTAGTGGAGATTTTGGGAATCTGTACAATAACTAGGAGTGAATACATCTATGTTATAAATGGTTTGAAGTCATACATTTACTTTTTTATTTGAAATGATGATGTCTTTCCAGAAATCTAATTACATTTCTGATCCATTAAATATTGACATGGAAATGTTCGACGTAAATTGAATGACTGGAAAAGTCCCTAATTGTCTCTACAATTAAATTAGCTTGAAAATTATTGCACAGATGCAGTGCATTTTTAATAGTACGATTGGCTGAAATAATGTTGTTGAGGAGTGGTATTTGTTTCCTTTGGTGTGAGAAAGTACCTTTCTTTCAATACAGCTATATTGGTTTGTCTTTTCGGACTTTTGAAGGGACACCAGTTACTAAGCAAATGTACGTGGTTCATCGCGGTTAGTTTTATAATTTACCTAAAACAGCACATTTTTTAATCTCAGGTGATTCAGTCCTTTTAGTATTTGAAAATTTTTTATTTGATTATCCGAATGTGTCTCGCTTAGGTTCGCTTTAGTTTTACACTTCATTTTTTAGGCAAGAAGACGTCCGTCTAGAAGCTGCCGCGGCGTCACGTCGTTGTGGTCTAACAGAAGCACAAAGGGGTCGCTTTACTCAAATGCTTGAAGATCTCGAACCTTCTCGTATTAAAATAGGAGAGGTTATGGTTTGGTGTTTAGAACACGCTGATTCTGCCGCTGATATTGCTTTGTGTTTAGTCGATTCTGTTGCTCCAAATGCGAATTTGACTTCAAGTCAACCGGATAAAGAAACAACTCCAGCAGATGACAACTCTGTTCCTAACTCAAACTCTAATCGTGATTCGCCTGATCGAGAAAAGTCACAGTCAATAAACATAAATAAGTTGGTTGCCCGTTTATTTTTAACTTCCGACATACTGTACAATTCATCAGCCAAGGTTCCGAACGCTTCGTTTTTCAGAAAATGGTAAATTCAGCACATTTCCATGTATTGTATCTGTGGTATTTATATCTACTATGTAAGGTGTTTGGTAGTAGATCGTATAGTCAAAAAATGAGTAAGCCTGTGGTAAAAGAATTGAATGTATCGTGACTTGGAAGATTCAGATTGGTGTGGCATTTTGGCAACGTCTGTATTTTGGTTCACGCCACTGGTTTAGAAGCTTAAGCAATTAACTTTCGATCAATGGTTTGTCGTTTCAAACCCTACTTCACTAATATTGGCTTATACTGTGTTTTATTGACATGAATCCTCAAAGTATTTGTGGATACGTGTTCAGAAGTTAAAGAATGTATTGGGTAGTTTCAGTGGATGTACATGGTTGTCTGGTTTCTGAATTCACCACTGCTTTTTGATTTTAGCCTGAGTTGTGCTACCTGCAATCATTTTCTTCAGTGTTCTGCGACATTGCTTTGCTATTTTTTTCGAAGTAACTTTGTAACTTGTTCACCAGGTGTCATAAATCTATCATTCCACTACTAAGTATATATCTTGACAATCATTTTTTGAAAATTCTCATAAGGACGGAAAATCAAAACAAGCGATTCAGCGAGGAGACTTTTCAACGAATTTAATCATCAAATTAAATCCTGTGAGGTGATTGAAACAAAAGTGTGGACACATAAAATGATATTATGAAGTGAAATTAAGGCGTTTGTGTTTATAACCGTAGTTAACTGTCAAGTGACAAAACAAATAGAACAGTTCATAAGATGTATGGATGTTGGAAGGCGTTATAAAATAATGCGATTAATAGGCGAATAAAGGCTTACAAGGCATGGTGTAAGATTTAATAACAGAATTTAACATTACTGTTCAATAAGCTGAAGGACACAACCCCACAGTCGACCAGCGCTATATGCGTTTGCCATTTCACTTTCTCGCTTGGAGCTGGGTATATCGGTCATCCGACTCGAGTTTTATTTTAGAGGGTTCAAGAACACTATACTGCACGGTTTGGAACAGGTGAAAGTGGAGTTATATGAGACTCAATCATTGAACATCTGACCGACATTAACCACTCTATCTCCACAGTCTTTAAGTTCATCTACAAAGCAAACAATAACTTACCCAAATCATTACATATCCTACTCGTCTATATGCCTGAAGTTTTGGTCATCGTAATAGAAAAGTCATATGTCTGTATGCAGAAAAAGTTTGCTCAACCCCTCCAACTCTCATGGTCTTAGCCCATCTCCTCGCTGAATCGCCTGTTTTGATTTTCTAGGATAATTTCTTACTTGGAAGTGTTATATCTCATGGACTGTATTTGATAATCATTATTTGCCAATAAGTCGATTTTGTTATTGTTTTCTTTTCTCTCTAGTTTTGAAACTTGCCTACCAGACATGTTCAAAAACTTGAATTCATATTATAAGAATGTTGAAGGAAAATTAAAGGCTGAACAGTTGAAGGTAAATTTTCTATCCTAGTTACTCATGAAATTGTAGCAAAAGGTGATGCTTTGCTTTCGTGCTTGGGAAGACTGGGCGGTATATCCAAATGAATTTCTTATCAAACTACAGAATATTTTCTTAGGACTTGTGTGCGAGGTGAGTTTATTCGTAATTTATCTGTTTTTATCTGAAAGCTTTTGGTGGTTGAAAGACCTGCTTTGCAAAATGTTAGAATTTTGTGTTTATATATATATATATATACTGCCATATGTATGCAGTAACACTTCAGTCTTCACGACTTTTGGGGTAACTGGCATATTATCAAGCTCCATAACTCCGCATGTTCCAACTGTTTCATTTGTTTTAAACCATCGATGCTTTGCATCACGCAGACTCCAGCCAGGCAGTTTGTACCACTCAGTGAAAGACTTCATGGGTTAGTGCCACTTTTTGATCCGGTCGCCCCTAACTCTTACCAACTAATCCGACTTCAGCTACGTTCATTAGTACATTTATGATGGAATTAATAGTAATAATACTACTGGTAATACTAAGAACAGAGTAATAACAATATCTTTATTCCGAAATACGCGTTCAGAAATAATACACAATATTTAGGATGCTCTTTGGTAAAGTATAAACTCCTTGTTTAGAATTTTCAATTAATAGTCGCTAGTGTACCATTTGAAGCAATATTATTCAACCCAAAGAACTCTAATAATCTACGATCTGTTTCTACCATATCCGATGTTCCAGGACGTACCGAAGTGTGAACATGTCGTCAATACACCTTCATCTGTCCCCAAAGCCTTCGTAGCTTTAATATGGCTGTTTCTGCCCAACTCTGCTTAATCTGTGCAGGATCATAGATAGTGTGTGAGTCATGTTGATCTACTCATGCTTATCACGAGACTTTGTCCACTGGGGATAATGATTTCAACTAGACCACTGAGTTCTATTTCAGATTCCTACACCTAATCTGGAATTCCAGTTGTTTCTTGTCATTCGTCTACGTTCTTAGTGTAGCACAGAACTTCAAGCTCAGTGGCGATATTGTTTTTAGGGGATGGGAGGGGGGGGTTATTAACCTCGCTCCCAAAGCTTCCACTTTTCTGACCTAAGTATCCGCTAGTAAACCGGACGGAGCCTAAGGTTGCGTGGACTAGAAATTGAGTCCGGACTTCTCGTGTTGTTGTCCATCAAAATCCTGGGTATCCTCTCAGTTAATTCACTCTTAAACACCTGGTGTTACACGACAGGCTTATTATTACCATTATAAATCAAAAATTAATTCTACAGTGTTGAATATATAATCCTAGAAACTCCCTTACTTACCATCAATAATCTTGTCATAGGCAGATGTTAAAGCAGCTACGTTTGTAAATCTGTGCTTTCGACCTAGTATTATTCAATGGGCAGCTTCAGGTTTGGGTGTGACCATCAATACAACCTGTTGGTTTACGAGTTTGTTGCACTGACTCACTTTCCTGCTTAGTAGATTTGTGAGTCTACTGTTCTAATCAGTATACACAAAAACGATCACCGTGACAAGGGGCTACTGACACGAAGTGAGATAGAATAAAAGAAAAATGACCATTAACAAAAGCGTTGTTATTGTCTCTAGTCAACAGCTAAAAGGTTTGATAGAAATTATGCATATAACATGTTTTCAATTGACCTTCAGCAATAGATTTCACTGATGAGTTAGAACAGTTAACCTATGGAGTTCATCCGGGTAAGGGGGGAAATACAAACATAACGGTACTGTGAATTAAGGCGGTATGAAAAAAATACATGACGTAATAAACCTGCACACGATGAAGGCGATGAATATATGACTCGCCTTCCTCGATGGGAGATATAGCTAACATGGGATCAGGTTAGAAAAGAGCCAGTGGTGGGCAAACCAAAACATAGCATCAGTCAATGACACGACAGTTAGTTTAACCCAGCCACGTAGGGTGGTGTTAACTTCCTGACTGGTTGAGGTCCTCGAGATGGGGGAAACCCAGTGGCTGGAGACAATTGATGATATGAGTCAAAATCGTTCTCAATGGGGGAGATGCATCTACTCTTTGTGATTTATCATATCCAATAAAACTGTTGTTCTTCTGTTTTACTCTTATGTCTCTTTAGAATCTCTCTTTACTCTGTTTTCTTTCTTTGTGTGCTACAAGGAAGGAGTGTGATAACTCGAACTGCTGCACATCGGTGCAAAGTTCAGTGCTGAAATCAGTCAGTCAGTTGTTTATATCAAGTAAAAGTGAATCTGAATTGTCATTTAATTTTATAGCTCATTCCTACTTTATTTCACTTGCATTCCCCAAGGTTTGTAACTAGGTTGGAATTCTAGCATCATTCTTGAATTCATTATTTTTTAGGCTGTGGATGATGAGGCTGATCTGGCAGGTGTTCCATTGAATTTAGAGGAGGATGAGCAGATTGAAGGCTGCATCAAAAAAGTGGGATTTTTGAATTCAGATGTTGAAGTTTTGGAAAGTCAACCATTAGTACAGTATGATGGAGATCCTCTAGATGTTGATGGAAGTCCTCTAGATAATGAGGATGCATCTCCATCACCAGTACGGTAAGTTGTCACAGCGTATGTGTAATCTTTGAGATGGTTTCATGGATATGGTTTCAATGGCTCTTCTTAATTTTCTCTTGATTTTTATTTTTTGGATTTTGATAAGTTGTCTTTACGACAGTGTAAATTAATAGTTAGAAAGCAGCAAATAGTACTTAATTAGTGTAAGCGTTGAACTTAAGCACTGTCTCAGAATGTAATTCCATATTAGATAAGTTTATCTGACATAACACACTGTGATACAGTAATAATAACTGGATAACGTTGATGTGAATAAGAGTAATAAATTATGCTTGGAATGTCATCCAGCCGTCTTTTCAGGTTAGTAATTGTCTTACCATCTGCTTCAAAGACCGTTTCGCTGATACTGTGACGGTAGAATACGAACGACATGATAAAGGAATGTTTTCTTGCAATTTCGTATCTCTATATAGCGAAATCATATACGCCTTATCTTCAAAGCACCGTTTGTGCTACTTCTGGCCTTCATATTGTTTTTCTTTGTGTTCCTTTCACGTTTCCTATGTATCTCCGCAACGCTATATCATTTGCTTTCTCTGACATCAAATCCATCTCCCTGCTATTTGATATTTTTATGCCGGTGAACGTCTCTTTACATACTGGCACACGCCACAATACCATACCTTTTGCTTTCGGGGGTTCGGGTGATCTGGAAAAGCTTCTGACTGTTGCCAGATGCACCTGTTGATTTCATCATTCACGCACGTTTCGTTTACCGGGCCTCGTGAAACACTGATCTTGCGTATAAGCGTCTTGTACATGATATTATACTCGCTGTCTACTGGAATGGACCGGCGAGCATCCAGAAGTAGCAAGGAATCATTCTTTTGAACCTCAAGTGGCCTTACCATTTCCAAGACGTCTTGAAGCTGTAATTAATGTTCATCTATATTATTTTGACGAGTTACTTGCTAGTTACCCTTGTGTTTAGCTCAGTCTGGTTCTTCTCAAAATTATCAGGTGCTACCAGTTTACTTACATTGGCCTGCGGTGGACGTCGTTTATGAATATAACCAAGTTTCAAGATGAACCTGGCACACACTAAGGTGTATTCGGAATCCAGGTATTTCATTCATAAGGAGTAGCAGTCTTGTATAAATCCCTGTCATAGGAAACTGGTAGCATTGTGGTCAGTCTGATTCCAGGCTTAGTTAACAGAGGGAGGACTACGGTAATGGCTTTGGCGAAACTTGTTGGATTCAACATAGAACTTGGCACCGAAGTGCAGCAGTTCGAGTTGCCACGTTCCAAATAGCACACAAAGGTAGACAGGAAAATGAGAGAAGAGAATCAATAGAATTTAGATAAGTATAAGAGTGAAACAAAATGAGTAATGGTAGAAAGAAATATGAAAGGTTAAAGAGACTGAATACATCTGCGCCACTGACAACGATTTTGAGACATGTCACCTATTGTCTCCAGCCATTGATTCTTAGAGTCCCGAGGGCCCCAACCCGGAAGTCTGCATCTCCCTACCTGATTCAGTTTAACTGTCAGGGATTTCATGGATTGGTGCCATGTTTTTGTTTGGCCACCACTTAATCTTTTCCAACCTGCACCTATATCAGCTAGTAATGCCCGTCGGGGGAAACGATGGCTAGGCATGCGCAGCACGTGACCTAACCATCTCAATCTATGTAACTTCATAGCCTCTTCGAGTGATTTTCCCTCTTTGCCCAACACTCTACGCCTAACGTCAACATTACTTACCTTATTATACCACCTGACGCGAGAAAGAGATCGTAAACATCTGTGGTCAAAAACAGACAATCTCTTCATGTCTTCCGCTCTCAATGGCCACGTCTCACCTCCATAGAGAAGGACGGAGCGAACTGCTGAACAGTATACACGTCCCTTGGTTGACAGCCGGATGTCACGCCTACGCCAGAGACGGTGTAAGTTAGCGAAAACAGCCCGAGCTTTCTGGATCCGTGCTGTGATTTCGTCACCAATCAATCCGTTGGTGCTGATACAACTTCCCAAATAGGTGAAGTGGTCAACATGTTCTATCACTTCACTCCCTATCACTAAGCTAGGAGTTGACGTAGTCCAGTCCTGTAGCAGCATCTTACATTTCACAGGGGCGAATCGCATGCCAAACATACGAAGATTGCTGCTCAAGGTGTTCAGAAGACTCTGCATTTTGTCAGCGTCCTCCCCTAACAGGACTATGTCGTCTGCGTATTCTAAGTCTATAAGACTATTCCCTGGTAACAAGTCGATTCCTAAGTCGTTAAGTTCAGTTAAGGATACATCCATTAGCATATCTATGATGAAGTTAAACAGAAAAGGGGAAAGTGGACATCCTTGACGGACACCACCGGTTGTTATCAATTCAGATGACAATTCCCCATAAGCCCTTACACAGCTACGTGAGTTTGAGTAGAGTGCCTTGATTAGTGCAATGTACTTTCTTGGCACTCCCTTTATAGTCAAACAGTGCCATAGTACCTCTCGATCCACGGAGTCGAAGGCCGCCTTCAAGTCAAGAAATATGGCAATTGTCGGACGCCTAAAAGTGTGTCTATGTTCTAGGATCTGTCGGAGAGTGAAGATATGATCTATGCACCCTCTACCTGGCCTAAAGCCCGCTTGATTTTCCCTCGTTTGTTCCTCCCGAGTTCGGCTTAGTCTGTTCATGATTATTGAGCCTAGGATTTTAGAGACTATGTTCGTTAGGCTGATTCCTCTATGATTATCACCTGAGGACTTGTCTCCCTTCTTGTTGCTGAGTGGAAATAGGTTGTGGTCAATGTAGAGCTTCGGAAGACCCGACTGTGTCTGAAAGTCCCCCACCTAGCATCACCGTATCCCTCTCTCAGTTGATAGTAAAACCCATCCTTAATTGCATACGGGCTGCAGTCTGTTGGTGTATAGACAAATGACAAATAGGCACCGCCTCTGTGTCCAGTCACCCCTTACTCTCATATAAACTTCTAGCTTCGTAGCACAGACGACTGCTAATGTGTATCCACTCATGTAATGCATCTTCGGCTCTAGAGCTTAGTACGACACCAACATCAGCTACAGCGGATTCCTGCGCCACAGAGTCTCAGGATAAGTGCAGGTAGTACACACCATTTGCACTTCAAATGGAGAGGATACTCGAAGCAGTTAACTGGGATCTTGAATACGGGTCTACGAAATACGATAGACATCGATAGCAGGCTTCCTAATGTTTTGACTAAACCTTCCCGTTTTGTGATTTGCATCCATATACGAAAATTGTACTCGGCAAGTCTGAATGCGACTCGCAGTTTTAGAACATCTGTATTGGATATCGCGCTAGAGATATGCATTTTGAAAGCCACTCATTGACATATATATATATATATATATATTCTGGAATAATCGTCATTGACAATATTGATTTTAAAAGAGTATATCGACTTGTTGAGATCAACCGAATATAGTTCGAGAAAGATTTGTAAGTTATAATAAAAAACAGTTAATACTAAATAGAATTTCGGATAAAATTAAGAAAATTAATGCAACAAATTGAGGATAGTTGAAACGTAGATGAAGATAAGATGGATAACCGCTGTACTAAATTCTTTTTGATCCGTAGTTTAGGCTTCTTAATGTGGATTCCGATGGCCTTAGTAATATGTAACAGAAAAAACTCTTGAGATAAAATTAAGATTAGTTAATGTACGATAACTAACTTTGAAGGCCCTGTTAACATCAGTTTTGTGTTCTGTACCCATGAGATGAGGTAGAACAGAACTATAAAAGAACTTCGTCTGTCCCTTGCTCAATCACGCAAGATGGTGTTCGGAAATCCGACCAATAAACAGGCCTAATTGGACGCTTTATGTAACTGGCTTCGCACGGTAGTCAAAATGAAAGAGGCAAAATTAGGTGGTTTGTCTCTTACTCCCGAACACAAAACAGAATTGGTTGAAAAGCGACCGTGTGCTTCAGCAGCATTCAATGCTCTCCTTTCTGCCTTCCTTGACGGTGGTTTTATTATTTGACTAGTGTTATCACCAAAAACTGAAGTTGTAGGAACAAGGCAATTTTCTGTACTGTTGGCACTTTAGTTCGTCTTTTCTTCAGATTCATATTCTTGTCAATTATTTCCTTGGGTAACCATTTTCACTCACCAGCGGTTCAGTAATATTAAGCTCTTCATTAAGATATTGATCGGAGCAGATTTCTCTTCTGGACTACACCCTTTTTAGATTGCGTTCGTTTTCAAGGGCATGAAGCTGAAAAAAATGAGTATACTGACGAGTTGATGTAGGTTTTCTGTAGGCACTTCCCATCGTACCGTCCTCTTTTCTAGTCATAAGGACGTCTAGGAATGAAATACTTGAGTGTCTTTTTGTCTCGATGGTAAAATTTATTGCAGGATGAACATTTTTAAATTTGTCCAGGATGTCCTTTGCGTCATCTTCATTTTTCATAACCAAAATGTATCATCCATGTACCGACAGTAGAATTCTAGTCCATCAAATACATCTTGCAAAGACCCATTCTCTAGTTTTGCGAGGAGAATGTCGGCTAGAATGGGTCCTAGTGGTGACCCCATTGCCACACCACTAAATAAAAAAAATAAGCATTCATTATGCATTTAAAAAGAAGCTCTTTTATAAGAGATATAGGAACGCCGACATCGATGTTTCGTCTTATGAGTTCTCCGCATTCAAAGTCTACTGCTCCCATAAGTGGTACATTGGGGAGTAAGGAAGATACGTCAAACGGTATCATGAATTTGTTGTCAACGTTTAAATCTTTTATCCTTTCACCAAATTCAAAGATGTCTCTTACGCTGTGTTTGACCAATTCAGTATGTGGAGACTGTAAGAGTTTGACTGACCATTTGGCCATAGGATGGTATGGAAATACTGGTCGAAGTGGCACACTATATAATCTGGATGTGAACGTACCAGTGGGTTTCAGTTATGTATACAGACTTTGTGAGATACAACCTTTATGTTTCGGCCTCCTCGATGATTCGACTAACTGTTTCTCAATGTTTTCAACCGGATCAAGGAATGAGGTATTTTGGAATTTTAGACGATCATTACGAATGGTTTTCACCTTCACGAAGTAATCTGTTTTGTTCACAATTACCACTCTTGAACCCTTATCAGGTTTTGTTATTACTGTTATCGTTTCGTTGAAGATTATTTAGGTCTTCCCTGTTTTTTTGGTCAAAATATTATCCTAATGGCGTTTACTATAATTGTAATCATAGACAAATTCTTTCAAAGTTGATTTAAGTCTTTGTACGGCCTCAGCTGCAGAGGGCATCAAGTTTTCCATTCGAATGTAGATGCTTTTGAACTGAATTTGCATATCCAATTTTACTAATTCCAACATGATTGTCACAAATTTGGGGCCAAGAGTTAGTACCTGCAAATCCACTTAATCAAGGACCACACCCAAACAATTGTGAACATAACGACTAGGGATCCCGGGTAGATTTTACTTCAGGTGTTTTGTTTTCCTGATTTTCAGCAGTTTGGTGTTCGTTTCTTTTCTTTTACTCGCAACTTCTTCCGCACAATTTAAAAAAGTTCCTTTTCGTGCTCTTGGAGCCCATACACAGCAAAAAACCTTTCTGCAACATTCTCGGATAATTCAGTAGTATATATTTTAATCGAATCAGTGTGATCGACTGCATGGCGTTTGAATGTCTTACCATTCGACCGAACTATGTTACTACGTAGAGACTTCCATTAAGAGTTCGGACACCGATTTGTTTCAATACACTGGTGAATAAGGTCTACAAAAGTCTGCTTAATTGAGCCTTTCACCTTGTGTTCTCAGTTTCATCAGTGACTCATTAAAACTATTTCTTTTTCAGATCGAAAAAGTCTAAGTTTATTTCGAATGTAGTGGAAGATGAAGCAAAACCAACTGGAAATACTTCAAGTCGTTTATTTGTTCCAAGTAAATGGGAAACTGTTGAAACTATTGAACCAGAGATAACTACATCTACAAATATTTGGGAATCAGCGTCCATTGCTGAAACTGAGAATGACGAGTCCAATGATAACATTCAGTCTACTCCCAGTCGCCAACAAAAACAGACAAACGGTGCGTCTTATGCCTCTGATGAAGTGAATGGAATCCCAATTGATACAAGCCGATGGAGTAATAATAGTCCTACAAATAAGGTGGATGAAGATGTAGATGGAGAGTAAGCGTTGTTATTTTTAATGCTTGGTGATTTTTCATGCTATTGGTGTGCAATATATATATGAGTAATTTGTAATGTTCGAATTGAACATCAGTTTTAACTGGCTATAAATGAGTAACATTCCACCATCTGTTTGACTACGAAGTGAAATTTCCAGTGTGAATTAATCTTTGGCGACTCATAAAATCAATCTTCGACTCGAAATTTTCACCCGAATCAACCTTATGCGTTAGATAAGTTTACTGCTTGTTGCAGTCCTTTAGCAAGTTTTTCCTGAGGTAAGTTTGTAGAATCGTGATTAGGCATACAATCTTTCGTAGTCGATTTTTTAAACATTTTATTAGCTTACAGCATAGTACTAAAACAATGTTAATAGTATTTTGTTGCACAACCAAAAATAATGGTTCATACTATGCGGAATTAAATCCATGGAGATACTGCTGTTCTGTTTCAGTATTTCGTGTAGTAGTCATTGATTGGAAGGTATTTTCACACGTAATCAGTTTGAATCTTCACATTCAATAAAACCTCTAATTTGGAAGTTTTTAATGTAGAACACTGATTAGTGATGCTTAATTTCTAATTTACGTCTTCGAATTTCGATTAATTTTCAACCCAATTGATATTAGCAGTGATGAAGCGACTGTAGGCATTGATTGTACTCAGTCGCGAGAATAACTGTTATCTTTTTGTCTAATCTATTTGACCCCCCCCCCAAAAAAATATCAAAAACTGTTACCTTTCTGTTTTATACTTTGAAGTAGGGAAAGGATACAGTGTAGTTTATTTCCATCAATAACAACCTGTTTATGCTGTATTATATTTTTAACTGCTCTGATTATTGTCTTTGTATGTTAGGCCATTACAGGTTGTTGGGGGTCTTGTTGCATATGATGATGAAGATGCCGCCAGTCCTGTTCCTAGTGAATCTAGTCCTTCACCTACTGTTCCTGTACAGGTTTCTCAAACAGTGTGTTCCTCCCTCACGTCTACTGTGACTCACGTAACTTCAGCACCTAGTACCCCGTCAACGACTGTTTCGGAAGAGCGCCGTGCTATATTAAGGGAAGTTGAACTCAAAGTACTAAAGTACCAGGATGAGTTGGAGGCAAGTCGTAAAGGTGACAAAACGGTTACAGATGAAGCTATAAATAAAGTAAGTAAATTTTTGGCATTTAAATTAATTATTGTATTTATCTTTTGCGTATTTTGAACTGGATTGAAAGACTAATTGTCGCTTCTGTTGGTGAAATAATGTAGTACCATTTCAAATAATCTCCCTTATTTTTACTTTAAGAGTGCATATTCGATAAATGTATCATTGATTTAGATCTATGAAATACAACTACCGAGTCAATGCCTCAAAATCTGCGTCGTGTACGAAGTTTTAGTTAGCCAATTAGTATCATCAGTCTTTACACAGTAGGTATGGCTCATCGCCAACTGTGTAAAAATGTTTATGGTTTTCGAGCATTTGTGTTAATTTAGAAAATGTGTATCTAAGTGTGTTAGTCGCTTAATATGTAGAACGTTATCTATGTATACACATTGAAGTTTTTCACTAACTTAGTAACTTAGAGCTTTTAAATTTAGAAGACAAAATGACTGAGCGAAGGAATATTCACTTCTCAGTCACATCCTCGTCTCCGTATTAAAATGCTAAATATGTCAGAGTAGAGTATACTAAAATCCTTTGTCATAATAAAGTCATTTCAAACGAAATAAACATTTATTCGAGGACATTGTATAACCATCCTAAGGTTATTTTCATACACCTTACTTTCGTCACTAACTTTGAGAAGTGTTTCAACTGTTAATTATCAACCTTAAGCGTAGTCATGGTATCATAAAGTGGTATTTATAGATAGTTTTTATTATGGAAACAACTAGCTTAGAAAAAATATTGATCATTTTTTTGATCGTGGTGTAAATGGTTTGAATCACATATAAGACCTAATTCCCAACCGAAATGGTTGCATTTATCCAGTCTTCAGGCTGAGTAATTTTGGGCTAACAGGCAAGTACGTGAACGTGTAACCACAGGTTCATTCGTCGAAAACCGATTTAGAGGAATAAACAGAACGATATCACCATGGAATGAAATGTGGCATATCCAAGTTTTGAGAGCAGTAATTGGGCTTTAAAAGACACCTAGCATGAAAGGTTTCATGATATTAAAAGGCAACCTAAACTAGAACTAATGAACTGATTGACAAATTAATACAAGGCTGTGTATCGACCGACTTCCATTGGCTCAATTTGCGATAATTTGTTGCGTTTGGGCCACTCTGGACGATTTCGAGCTATTATGCGAATGATGATAGATATTGTTTAGGCATGAAGTAATTGAGTTGTCCCATTAATAGTGCACAAATCTATACTTTAAAGCATTCATATTTGTTCTGTTATTTATCTAAAATATATTGCATATAATGCAAAATTCGAAAATTTTACCACCCATTTTCGTGATAAAGGAAATAGTGCATATTTTTTCTGTCTAAGAAATTGCGAAATGTAAGTGATGGTGCTATGTGTTGTGTGAACTTTTCAAATTAATGATTTGTCGTTTACTTTTCCTAACCCCTGTCTTCACTGTTGCTCAGGTTTATATATTTTTTCAAACGATCACAATTCGTACTAATTCATACTTTTTTTTGCAGCAAATTCAGCGGTACAGAGAGCGACTTCTGGAAAGCCTAATGGCAAATGAACATTCTTCGCATAAAAAGGAACATAAATCTGTTCATCGTAGCAAACCGAAGTCCTCCAAAAGCACCAAAGATAAAAGTGGTTTAACTCCACATCAATCGAAATATCAGTCGAGAGGGCGTGAAATGTCTTCCTCCCCTACACGAAGAGATTCGAGGGATCGGTCACCTCCACGCTCTTTTCGCGATCGGGACCGAACTCGTCGACGACACGCTTCGCCTTCTGGGAGTTCGGGGTTGGGTGATGGTAGTCCTGTTCGTATGGATTCACACAGTTTGAGTGAGCGTCGGAGAACCTCTGCAGGTGGTTGGGAGCCTGATTCTGCAGATGAGATGAACTACTCAACTCATGCGGATGACATGGAGGAAGGAGAAGCTAGTGAGGATGATGATGGAGTAGCATTGTCTTCAAATCAGTCTTATGGCATAACAGCATCTAAGAAAAGACGTCCTGTGCATAAATCGGTTAGTCAAGTTAGCATTTGGTGATATTGTATGTCTCATTGGTTACATGGTTACTGTAAAGACTGTTACGAAAATGAAAATATTCGGTCTTCATTTAGATTGAACATTCTGTATTATACGTTGTTCTGTTTGCAGATTTATTGCTTTTGGAGCTACCTATTATACCTAACCATGTTGGGAAATCGTGTGATTGATGACCCTTAAACTATAATAGTAGTAATTAGCCACTCCCTCTAATGGACTTGATGGAAGGAGAAATGCACAAATTTACTACCTCTTCTTTAAGTGACTCGTGTTCGTTTAAGATGCTATTTAGGTATCATGTAGTGCACTGTAGATAATAATTTGGTGTACCAACTGTTTTGAAATTCCATGTTCCATATAGCCTGTTGAAATGATCTTGTTCAAGTTTGATGTGCTCTAATTCAGTTTTTGGATGCTTTTTAAACCCCATTTTTGAGGTAATTGTGTGCGTCTAGTACGAATGCTTGAAAACATTCATTTTACGGAGTTCATACATAGTAATAGTACTTTTTAAAATTTTTGTGTATTTTGATGATTATGTATTTCTCCATGTTCTAATTTTTTTTTCAGAATCGCAAACGACATCGTTCACGCAGTCCAGATTCAACCGCCATTCATAGTCGTCACTCTCATCGTTCTCCATCTCCATCTAGGAAGAAAACCCATTCGTCGGATTCCGTCTGCAGAAGTTCAAAGCGAAAATAACTATTATCCCCAGTGTTTTGCACAGATGGCGTTTAAAGCCGCACCGTTGTACAGTTCCTAATCTTTTCTCTAACTTTCTGGTCTTTTTTTCTTTGTGTTGGAGCCAAATTATGATGTAGTATAACATTTATCTTCGAAAGTCAATAAATTATGATCAAGTTTATTAAAGTTTTTAACCGTCGTTTGAATGGGTTTTCATCGAATTCACTGAGCACTGTTGTGTACATAATTGTTTCGTTCAAAACTAACAGGTAATTGATTATTCTATGACACTGTATTTTAATACTGCTACATGAACACTAGGTCGTTTACTTCAGGGGATAATAGTGATTTGAATATCCGGAGGTTATAGCATTCTGATTATAATTTGTCTGTGATTTAATTTGACGTAATCGCTTCAGTGAATACTAGGTGTCTCAAATGTGTTAGGTTCATATGTTTCTAGTATTTCTTCCCTTAATTGTGACGTTCTGTACACGAACTTGCTTCGTTTTTGGTAGAGCATGTTTTATATGTATTTTACTGACTACTGCAAAACAACGTCATGGCACAATAACCGTAAATATAAATGTCAGCGTCTTGTTGACATGGTGTATTTCCAGGCTATTTGCGTTGCTGTCGTGAACTCAGTTTGCCTAACAGGATAAAGTGGTCAGGCTCTGAATTTGTGTTATAGTTCTCAAATTCTTTCCTATTTTAAGTTTTTAAATATTCGCTTACTAGTGAATAAGTAACTAAGAACGTCAACTATTCAATCCCTGCATTTTCATTTTGAGTAAAGCATGCTGAGTAGTATGTCGTGTTCTTTGATTACTTCAATTGAAATTTAACCGCTAAGTGTTTACAAGCAACACTATCTAACTGACACGAAATAATCCAGTTGACTGAATATTTTCATCAGTCTTTATCATCACTATCATTGTCTTATGATGTATCTGTAAGTTGCGATGATTCGTGTTATTTGTTGGCTTGGTTATATTTTCAGGACACTATCATCTTAAATTGTTCAAATTGCTGTTCTTAGTTGGTTGTTGTGGTCAGTGGTGTGTATGCATTTAGAATAATAATTGAGTAACTTAAATTGTAATGACTTATAAGTACAATAATGTTGTAGGCAATCAATTACACATAAATCTGTTGGATATTATTCATCATATTAAATTGAAGCTTGTCGCCTCGTAATATATAAGTAATGACAGTAAGATACTGATAAGGCAAAAATTAGGAACGCATGACTGGCGTTGTTAGATTTTCCGTCAATTAGTTGACATACCGTAGCATACATAGGAATAACATTAAAGTCTTTATTTATACACTACTAGCCAGTCCTTTCGCCTACCTATTTTGAGTCTGCAGGGATTTTATAAGAGTAAGGCTGCGACGGAAACTAAACTAAGCATGACTTATGGAGGACTGTATTTAGCGTACGTGTTTTCATGTTTATAAAGTAAGATCTAAGTTTCAGTTATTTGATTGTCCTCCTCAAGAATTGCACCAATACATTCCTAGATCAAGGTCAATACGTAGGTCAGTTGTGCTGTGCATTTGCTTTTTTGTCTTTCACATATATACATATTTACTTTCCAAAATTTATTTGTTTGTTTCATTAGGTTTTCTGAAGATAACTAATAAAAATTTAATAAATTATTAACACCTCCTAAGGACAAGATTTTGGTGCAGTGACGGAAATTACCGAAGAAATACCTTGTTTCTTTGACAAATCCATGTATTCGCGGTGAGCAGCAGTTGGTGAAGTGTTGACAAGCAGATAATACTATTGAGATGATTAACAAATATGACGAGATAGGAATATACATATAACGAACGTAGTTGTAACTGTATTTCTGTTCCTCCTACTATTTTGTTATATGAGATTCCATGCGTGTAAATTTTTGTAATCTATAGTATTCTCATCGATATAATTTTGTGATATGATATCGAAGTCTCCATTATTTTACAAATGAAAAAGTTATCTACATTGTCGATTTGTAGCCATTCATTCTACCAAGCAGATAAATTTCTTGACACGATCAATCTTTGTGACAAAGATGTTTGTTTCTCCATCAGTGAATTTGCTTTTGGTTGCAGCAATGCGCGTAAAAGATCTCGTGCTTCCAGTATCTCGTAATTATTTAGGTATCAGTAAGTTCAGTCATCATCAATTGGCTTTGAATTCAGAAATAGCTACCGGATTTTAGCAGTAGAATATTCAGCTTGTCTCGTATGTTTTAACCAAAAGTTTGTTAGGAATACGTCGTAAGCCTTTTTTCATTTCAGTACGCTGGCACGGAGGTGTGGAACATAAGACCTTAAGCTTGAGCTGGGAAGTTTCAGTGGCGGTGATTTTTGTAAACGCAGAGGGCTTGCTAGCCTCACGCCCAACCTTCTCTCATTGTTGGGCTTAATACTGGCTAGGCTACGTTTAAGAGCGTGTCGGCTAGAAGTCGAACCATGTGCTTGGTTGGCGAGCATTCTACCGTTGAACCAACGATGCTTACGGTCAGTAGGCAGAGCAGTATAGCCTGTATTAGTCGAAATTTAGTTATTGAAGTAGATTTGGCTGTAATATTTGTGGCCTCGGCTCTTGCAGTATCAACGAATCAGTTCAATACCCATTGGAAACAAACTTTATGTATTCCTAGACGTAGCAGTAGTCTTCCCGGCATTTATTTGGATGGTTCTAATTATTTATTCGAAATTGATGTTATAAGTGTGAACAGGTTTGTTTACTAAGATAATCACACGGAATTCAATCGGTGGACAGCATTCATAGTTTTGGCGGGTTGTCTTATACCTATTTTTGCTAAATATATTGCAAGATATTGGCCTTTCTGAAGACTGCAGCATAGCTACCATATAAAGGCTTGGGAATATTCCGAAAAATAATAGTCATTTAGTGGCGTTAGTTATCAGTTCTCATAACTGGCGGTTCAGAACCACATTTACGGTGAATATTAGCCTTCATTGTTTGAAGAGACTTCTGGCAAATACACGATCAAACAACAAGTTATTCAAAAGTAATGGTAAAGCCGTTTTTGTTCTTTATTCAGTCTGTCAACATTGGAATTCCTACAAGTAGGTCGCCTTGTTTTCAACTACCTAGCTGTCTCGACAGTAATGATCCTGCAGTATATATCCAATTTCGCATGAGAAGGTTGTTCTTAATTTGTCTTGAAGACTTTTGTTTTCATGTTATATGATGATGAATTTTTTAGTAACTCGATGTTACCTCAGTTATCGGGACCTGTACAGATCGTGCTCAGAACTCTTCAATCAGAGAATGTGTGAATTTCAGCGACCATGGCATGCCTTTCTTAAGGTGATTCTCACCGCTACATCATTGTCTTGTGTGTACGTAGGTTCGGAACCACCGAAGTAGGAAGAAACCTCTAGTTGTAATGTGGTGTTTACTCCATCCATTTGCAATAGCTTACGCGTAAATGCTGTTATTTCTTCTCCACTTCCAATGTACTCAATTTACTACTACATATATTTCCTAATCAAAAGGCATACGAGGTTTCAGGAATGTCCACAAATATGCGTAAATTCAAATTAAGGCACTCTGACAGACTAGACGTAATGAATCACTCCATAGCAAGACGAATGAAAAGTAGATTACAGAGTGAAAGTCAATTCAATCAGTGTAAAACTAATCGAATAATCTGAATAGCACCTCTGCAGAATAAAATGAATTATGTCTGTTCGGAAATGTCAGGTGGACAACACAAAAGAATGGTCTTTATGTAGTAATCACTTTTCAAAAAATTGTTACTTGGCTTCAGATGCAATACAAATATTGGTAATGGATAAAGCTGTGAATAACGACTTTAAGAGGATTGCAAAATTTATGACAACTACAAGACTGATTTTCATGTATTAAAAATAATTGATTGAATAAAGTAGAGAAAGGGATTCGGGTAGACCTTGGAGCGATTCTAAATGTTCGAAAGGCTTTTGAAGTTGTGGTGAGAGCTGGCTGCTAGCGAAATTGGTACACAGTAATTTACGTCAGTGTTTACGTCCCCAATATTGGTCGTGAGAAAAATAAGAACAAAAACTGATTCAACAACCAACCAGGCAGACTTTGCGTAGGCGGATACAATTTGCAGATAGATAATGTGAACTTCAATAAACGGCCACAAATGGATGAAAGATTGACGTTCAGCGAGAAACCACCAATCAGAAGACTGTGTTTGTCTGCTCACAATAATCTACAATAATGTACATGAAAATCGATAAATATCTGTTGATTTCCTAAATAAACGATCTGTTGCCTGGCCCTTGTCTTCTGTTGTTACAAAGTAAAACATTGTGTGAGCACTTTCGATCAGTAGGAATAGAAATGAGTAATTAGTTTTACTACGGCCAATGACAGCGGTAATTATACGAACGAATCATGGCTAGTATGAGTGTTTACCTCGTATTTAGTTGGGCCTGTGTCTGATTCACGAATAAAACACAAGAATCTCTTCCAATGAGTTGTGGGGGGTTTGGGTGAGCTTCCGAACTGATTAACGCAAGAAGATGGATTCTGGTGTGCTCCGAATATGATGAGGAGGGAAAGCTGCTCAAACGTAAACTAACAAGATGTCTTCTCAACAATTGTGAACACTGGTGAGCGATAGAAGCAAAAGAGATGTAAAAGGTATTGGCGATAGGTAACGCCAGACAACTATTTAGACTTATCAGGGAAACAGATGGCAAAGGGCAAATGACGAGTGAAACAACCTACCAGGAAAATGGCACCCTAATTAGTTGTCAGGAACGCCAGAAAGAACGCTTTGAGGAGCATTTTAATTGGCCTACAGTTACGCTCAACTTACCCAACATCTATCATCTGTCTGAATGGATATAAACATGGGTCCTTCTACTAGGTGACATAAGATCAGGTTGGGAAAGAGCCAGTGGTGGGCAAACCGAAACAGAGCATCAGTCAATGACACGGCAGTTAGTTTAACCCAGCCACGTAGGGTGGTGTTAACTTCCTGACTGGTTGAGGTCCTCGAGATGGGGGAAACCCAATGGCTGGAGACAATTGATGATATGGGTCAAAATCATTCTCATGCATCTACTCTCTGTGATTTATCATATCCAATGAAGCTGTTGTTCTTCCGTTTTAATAATAATAACAGCTTTATTCCAAACAGTATTTGTGGTACAGGTATGGAATTTTCAGCGTGCATTACAATATTGCATCTAATTACCTCATAAATTTTAAAAGATTTTGAAAACAAAAGGGAACAACAAAAAATAGATAAATAAAAAAAGAACAGCGTTGCATTCACATTTTAAACAATGCACCAACGGAATATGGATTATAAAATTAGTGTGTAATAGATGTGAACAACAATATAATAGTAACACAGAAAGGAAAACAAAAACTAATGGGAACTATTTGTTAGAGTGCCGCAGTAAGTTGATCGTGTCATACCTAACAGTTTTCTCATTACATAACAGCTGTGCCGGATAAGGTATTGTGGAGATTTGTACTTGGTAGTCCTAGTATATAGCCTCCTATAGTTGCTCCTAGTTCTACCAGATGAAATGCAAGGAGAGAGTTGCGTATAGAGAGGATGCTTGGGGTCTGACATTATAGTATTCGCTAGTTTCCTACATGACATCAAATGTCTTTCCACAGTAGTGTTAACCAGTTGGTTAAACAATATTCCACTTCCCCTACTAACAGCTTTTAGTGCCCTTCTCAGCAAAGCAAAATCTTTCTTAAGTATTGCAGGAAAGATTAGTTGGGAGCAGTAAAGAGGGATGGGTAGAATACAAGAAATGACAAAGTGAGAAAGCAAAGACTGCCTTAATTTCCTAAGGTAGAACGTTAAGCGAAACATCTTTCTAGTAACTAGCAAGATGTGAGAGGACCACGAAAGATCGGAGGAAATACTGAGTCCAAGGTACTTGACATTACATGCAGTTTCAACCTCTATGCCGTCAATGATAGTGGGGCCATGTGAACTAGCTAGTTGTTGTAGGTCACGTTTTCGTCTGAAAGTGAAATTGACCACCTGACATTTAGACGGATTTAGCTTAAGACCGTTTGAAGAGGACCACTGACTAATTTCCGACAGAAAGTAATTTAATTTAGAACAATCTGACTGAGAGTTGACAGGCATAGAAACAGAGAGGTCATCAGCATACTTGATAAAAGTGGCTACATCAGAATGGGTCAAGTTATGTAAGAAAAAAGAAAACAGAATAGGAGAAAGAACAGCACCTTGAGGAACACCAGCTAAAGTAAGTGAGGTAGTGGAGGACTTTGCATTGTAGACGGTGTACTGCCTCCTATCAGAAAAATAAGAATGCAACCACTTATTTGTCCAGCTATCAGCCTGTGTTGCAGCAAGCTTACTTAGCAAGAGAGACCTAGGAACAGAGTCAAATGCAGATGTGCAATCAAGGAAGGCACACCGAACATATTTAGCTCCTCTATCTAAACTAGAGACTATATCATGATATAAGACAATAGCGGCATCTAAGGTACACCTACTATGTTTATAAGCAAACTGGTTGGGGCCATTAAAAGGCTTTAAAGAGGGTTCAAGATTAAGTAAAATAAGTCTTTCCATAACTTTTAAAAAAGGTGAGGTAATAGCAATGGGTCTAAATTTAACAGTAGGTCCACTTGTTGATTTCTGTACTGGAACAACCTTGATATTTTTCCATGAGTCAGGAATAATACTTTTGGAAAAAGATTCATTGAAAATGTCGGTTAATGGGAAACATAAGATGTCAGTACACTTCTTAAGGATAACAGCAGGAACTCCATCAGGACCAAGGGACTGAGTAGGTTTGAGAGATTGAAGACACTACTCTTTTTGCCTCACACTTCTGTTTATTATGTCTCTTTAGAATCTCTTTTTACTCTGTTTTCTTGCTTTGTGTGCTACAAGGAGGGAGTGGGATAACTCAAACTGCTGCACATCGGTGCTAAGTCCAGTGTTGAAACTAGTTAATCAGAGTGAGCAGTATGTAAAAACTGATTTTTTCTACCGATTCTTCTATATTTTTGTTTTT